TTAATAATAATGTTTTTTTATTTTTAATATTTAATTATAGTTAATTATTTAGAAAATCTAATTAAAAATTTTATTTATTTATTTTTATTTTATTTTAAATAAAATATTTTTGTTATAAATTATATTAAAAAATATTAATTCAAAATTTTATAACAAACTATATACTGTATAACAAAATTTATTTATTCATTTAATCTATAAATTAAATTAAAATATAATTTAACTTTTTTTTATTTATATTATAATTTTATTTATTATATTTAATTTATTTTTTTAAATAAAAATTATTAATTAATATCATATAATTAAAAATATATAAAAAAATATATTTTATTTGTATTATTTATATTTTATATAATTAATTAATTAATAAGTTTGATTAATTATCTTTTAAGAAATTCAATATATGTAATTTAAAATTTAAAATTAAACTAAAATTTTCAAAAAATAAATAAAAATAAATAAATAATCAAATATTTTTTTGTTAATTTTTTTTTTATAAAAAAATTTATGTTATAGCTTTTTAAATAAAAAACATCAAATGATAATTATTGTTTATTATTATTATTATTTTTTATAAATAAACATTATTTTTTTATTTGATTTATATATTATATAATATATATTATAAAAGAAATACCATTTCTCATATATTAATACAATGAGTTAAATATTGGCCTACCTATAGTAATTATATAACTAATATTGAAAAAAAATTTAAAATAATATGTTTTGTTAAATAATATTGAATAACTATAAATAACTATTTAATATTGGAAAAAATGAAGCTGGATAATGTTGATATTAGATTACAAATGCATTTGAAGTAATTATATTTATATTGAATGAATGAGTTAATAACTATGAATAATATTTATTTATTTTATTGATTGTTATTAATAAAAGTATTATTATAAACCTTTTTAGAACATCTATTTTTTTGAATTAGCAACATCATGTGATATCAAAATACTGTATATTAACAAATCAAAAGATCAAAATCAATTTTTATTATGGAAGAAACGAATTTTGCCGTCGATACGGGACAGGGTTTTAAACTTCAAGGAACCTTATATTTAAAAGATAATGCGCCCAGTGATGATATCGTGATATTTTGTCATGGTCTTATGAACACGAGAAATTCTGAGGTTAATCAATCCATTATCAAGGAAATAGATTTCAATTCTATCTCTTTTGATTTTCAGGGTAACGGAGAGAGTGAAGGGACGACAAGATGCGGAAATCACAT